TATCGAGGTACAAAGCGAGATCATCCACCAGATTGCTCTAGAATCCAATTCTAATGAAGAACACCAAGAGAACTCGTGGTGGCTGCTCCTTATGATAAAACTAACCTAAATATTTTGGCACACCCCTAACAAGAGGCTAAAAACAAGTATATATAGGCTTAGGATCTTCTAGGGCTTAGTTTATGACAAAACGGTCTTTTACGTCAAAACTGCTCCAATGTTGGTCACGAATATCGGTCCAAAATCATGACCGGTATTGGGAGTTAAATGACCTCTCTTGTGTGCTGGCTTCGGCTAGAATATCGGTCCACGGTGCAGGCCGGTATTTAGCCCGATATTGGCCTTGCTTCAACTTTGAGGCAGCTTGATATGTCTTCAGTAAATCCAGTGTATCTTCCTGCTCACAGCTCCAATTTAAATGATTCAAACTTCATTGTGAATCTAACTCAAAGATCGATCTGACCACCAAGTTTCATCCAATTCCAAATTGATTTTCTCCTCTGTTCCTCTGCTGAACTTCTAGCGTATACGTTCTGTCCAATTTGGTAGGATGTTGTTTCTTGTGAATTATTGGATCTTGATGGTTTCTTTGGCTTGTGAAAGTTGATGTAGCTTGGTTTACACCTATTTTGGCTCGTTTTGATCCTTTTTGCTTGATTTCCCTGTTAAGACTCTAAAACTATAAATACGACAAAAACTACCTCTAAAGGCGTAATGCCGTAGATAAATGCATAGAAAACATAGTAAAATAGGTAAAATATGGAACATATCAGGTAACAGTCTTACCGATGCCGAGTGATATCGGTGAAGCTTCAAGCACACCAAAATCATGAAGACTAGCTCTTGAACGCCTCTCCATGGGTGATTCCCCTGGTAATCCTTGCCAAACTAGAGTATACAGCTCAGATTCAGGTAGATTGCTGGAGGTACAAGTACAATATATGAATGAAGGAGAAAACCAATTGCTAGAAGGCAACAACTCAAGATCAGAGAGGAGAATCATTCCCACTGAGAGGGGAAATTCACATCAATATTTGGAGACACCACCAACTGAGGGACGTATCCCCACTTCTGAAAGGTTAGGGACTAGTATAATTACGGAGCCACGGAGATCGAATAAGAAAGCAACCACTAAAACATCTTCAACTTCAAAGCCTGTTAGTAAAAAGATAGGCCAAAAGCAGAAGAAAGCTGAACCAAAGAAACCATCAGGAAGAAAGAGGGGAGCAAACAGTCCGATTGTAGGAGCAAATTCAAAGAAGAGGAATTTTACTAAGGGTAACTCTACATCAAAGAAGAAGCTTTCTATGGATTTGGCAGGGCCAAGTGGTCAATTACCTCGGAATGAGGATAATACAAATTCTGGTGTAAACAATGGACATAACAATACTCCTGCAATGGTCT